CAAGAACATCAGCAACCACTTGACGCAACCAAGTCGCCTCCTTACACGCTTCACATAGTGCAATGGACTCAGCTTCACACGTCGAAGTTGCAACCACAGTCTGTTTCCGGGAACTCCAACTGATCGCTCCACCGCAGAACTTGAAAACATATCCGCTGGTCGACTTGCGAGAGTCTGAACAACCGGCCCAGTCAGCATCACTGAAGCCGAACAACTCCGGCGATTTAGCGCCCCGCACGTGGCCGCCACTTGTCACCGCGGCGCCGCCCCCGTGCGCCAATGGCAACGCGGGAGCGCAAGGACATACAGACACACACACAGACACGGATTTTAGCCACGTGTCGCCACTTGTCAGCCGGGGCGGTCTGGCCTGCGGCCAGGCCGCGCCCCGCACGTGGCCGCCACTTGTCCGCCACGTGTCGCCCGTGCGCCAATGGCAACGCGTGCGGGAGCGCACGAACACACATACACAAACACACAGACAGACAGACACGGAAATTAGTATACGCGGGGACTCAATAAAAACGGGGCGAGGGAAAGGAAAAACGAGAGGAAAGTCCTTTGTTAGGACTGGCCCTTACTCTGTGCGGGGGACCCTGCGCATTAGTGCCACCCGCTACCGGATCCTAGAAACCGGCACTATTCCGAATCGGCATTGGTCCGGGACTGCGTGACATCGATCTTCATACCCGACTGACTTTCTTCTTTTTGACACGTGGCGTATTCTGTGCCGGGCCGACACTAATCCGACGGTCGCACAAAAAAAAGCGACACTAATAATGCATGTGTCTCCCCTTGGACTGCCAAATGTCCACCACTTCCCTACCTTCCTCCGTTCCCCGTTCCAGTCAAAAGTTCTTGACAACAAGTACTCTCTTGTGAAATAGCGCACCGATGGGCATTCATTCACATATCACGTTTTCTGATTTGAGGACTAGAAGAAAGAATTACAATGATGTTGTTCAGGATGTTGTGGCACAAGAGACTGTGCCCACTTGCTGTGGGCAGACTGTGCTGTTAGTTATCTACCGGAGAAGTGGGAGCTAGCATCGGCGCTTGAGAGACGTATTCTACGTGGGTGCACGCTCTAATTACAGCATGGTAGAAGTCAACATGACTCAGTAGCACTGTACAGCAGACTGTAACAGCCTAAGATATTAAGTACAACAGTGAGGTACCCGAAGAGCCGAGTAGGCTAAAGCAGGAGGAACTTTGCGAAACCACCTGGTTCTTCACCCAACACTACCTTCAAGGCTGATTCGACCTTGGGCCGCGATGCAGATGCGGCGCGCCCGTTCTTAGAAGAGCTGCGCTCAGTGCATGCATCTGGGTCAGCCTCTCCATCTGGACCTCGGGACCGTCCCCGTCGTCGTCCTCCATAGTGGGCTTCTCGTATGTGATGTAAATTGTCGCTACTGCATCGGCTATTACTATCTTCACTGCACCAACCCCGCTAACCTCGCCCCGCTCGACCTCTATCCGTGGACATCTGGTCAAGTCGCGTTCCGTAACCATTTTCGCATTCCACATACAAAGTTCGACGATGATTGCCCCACCGTCGACCCCCTTTACCTGTACGCGACGTTTTCGTGTTCCTCCGCTTCCTGTCGGCGGCCATATTTTAGATACCACGCCGATGAAGTCACACCGCGACCCGAGCGAAAGGTTTGGAATGTCCGCTACATGCACGTAATCCGGTATGTATGGGACGTGGAAGCCCGGTCGCCTTCTCGCGACATTGTCAAACGCTACGCGATGCCCACACGTCCCGTTCCATGGTAGTCTTCCGGCAACGAGTTGCACTCGCCGCACGGCATTCGGGTCTGCGACGTATATTTGGTACTTGTTGACTGTGCGATACCTCTCGTCAAGGAGGCGAACCACGGCCGCTGAAGAGTCGATTTCGTAGACAGTATGTAGGTGAACGAGGTCGTCGAGGCGAGTTGCAGTTGTATCCCATGAAACAACGTCGATAGAGGCAGAGCTATCCGAGAGTTGGAAGAGGGTACGGACGCCACTACCTCGTCTCTTTTCGAAGCGATAAAGGGGATGTTTTTGGGTGCATGTACCTCGGAGTATCCAGGACGTGCTGGAAGGGGTGAGGGCCGATATTGATACGTGCTCGAAATGAGAGTTGAGAGGAGGCATGGAGGAAGGTCAGAGAGAGGGGAGATTGACTGTAGCTGAAGTTGCAAATGAATCGCACAGCTCGGGGTCGAGCAGGGTGGCGAGGGAAGGACGCGAAAGTGTTATACGGGAAGTAGGAGGGTGCGAAGTTCGCACTGCGAACCCTCCTACTCACGGACAAAACGATTCCTCGACAAGCGATAATATTTGAATAGGCGACCCTCTCGCGCACAAGTGCAACACGTGCCATGGCTCAGCCAATAAAAAAATTGAAGGTACTCCCCTCCTCGCTGCTGCTTCGTCCGCGTGTCAATATGCATTGCAGGGAGGAGCGAGATGTTTTGGCGTGGGAAAAGCAGCAATGCCCGATCCAACTGTAGGGCGGAAACGCCCTACAGTTGGGCAGAAACTGCCTACCGTTGGATCGGGCAGTATCAGGCACCGACTGATACTCTCTGGCAAAAACCCCTGAGAGCATTCGTATGAGGAACACATCCGACACTATGCACTAGTGTAGGGACTGCCTCCTGTGTTCAGGAGGCGAAACCGGCTGGCTTCCCAATGCGATGTTAAGGCGCGAGCACACGTAGGGGTTGTCGCCTCGATTCGAGTGCAGACACGCGCCGAGTGCAGATATGAGCACCGAGGCTTGCCGAGGGCCTCATATCGCACGACGCACAGCGTGTCTGCACGATGGGATCGAGGCGACAATATCCTTGTCTATCGGCTGCTACAGCGACTGTCAGCCATTGTAATTACAGTACAATTGTTGGCTTGATTATTGTCTGCACTATGGTGCAGACATTTTCGGCAGTAGTGCGGACATCTGCAATTTTTGCACTGCACTGAACCCCGCCAAGCCATTTTCAGTAACATTACGGTTTTCCCCAAAACCTGTTAATGTCACCGCTGTCACGGCGCGTATGTCCCCGTCAGCCGGTAGACAAAACACACCTGGAGCACGCCACTCCATGCTAGACAATTCAAATTACTTCTGAAGCCAGTCGACTGCTCATGTCAACGTCATCAACTCCGTTTGCCACGGCACAATACTCGACTCGTTCATTCCCTACTCACCAAATAAGAAGGGATACTTTCCATCCGTTTACATCGGTTCGATGGGGGCATGGGCAGCGTGCTAGCGAGGGTTGTCGGAATGGATTTATGGATTTTGACTAATGGGAGGGGTCATTACTGCTTCTCTTCTAACGGGTCTAGATGATATTTGACCTCATGCACAGCTGTCTTTCATTTTTCCCGGACATATGCCCACTCGATATTATGGAGAAAGATGCTCTCGCCACCACACTCGACTGCTGTGCTGTGGAAGGATACATTTTCGTAAGAAACGCATGTCATTTCCGGTCGCGTATAGAAATGTCTGGCATAGAAGCTTGTTTTATGAGAAACCTTGAAACGTTTTGAAATAATAACTTCGAAATCAAAACGTCCGTTTGAAAACTGAACCCAGTATTTGAACTCCATTAGATTTCTTAGTTTTTCAGATGTTCTGCAAGATGTTACTTGGCAAGTACATTAAACAAATTGAGTCCAACATGACCTTCCAAAGTTGTAGTTTAATGTATTGTTTTGCAAAAAAGCTGGTCTCAATAGAGGCAAAATCCCTGTCGTCCTTCAAGCAGATAGACACTACAGTAAACACAACAGGTCGCGCAGACTTGGTTCACTGGAACTCCGGAAAGGATGGAATTGTTTTCCTAAAATTCGGAGGAGAGGTATGGGACTACCGTACTGAACAGCATCAAAACATCCGAAGATGAAATACAGTACTACAGTACAGTGAATCGTAACGCACGGGGAAGCAGACAGTTGGTCATCACACAAAAGCATTCTTGGTTAACTCATACCGGGCTGCACATTCGAAGTTTGTGGTGATTCCTTCACATGACTCCCAGTCATTCCTTCATATGACTCCCAGTCATTCCTCTCTCATGTCGTTGGCCAACGGCACCTCCCCTTTTGCTCAGTGGTCATCATTCCCTGCATCACAAAGTTCAAGGCCCCCTCCCTTCTCAGTCGGTATGCAATTCTATTCGTTCAAAGGCAATGTACTCGTGTGCCCTGCAGAAGTGACTTTCCATAATCTCAGACGATAGGGACAGAGATTTTCAATGACAATTTCACCAAATGATCTATAAAGATTTATCGCAAAAGTACGATTCCTGTTAAAGTAAAGGAGCCTACCGCTCGCTTAAGTCATTGCACTTGGATTTCCTAGAGTCCTGTTTCCATTTTTGGAAACTGCAGCGGCAAAAACAAAAAATGGGCTGCAATCCCGTGCTTGGATGGTTCTCCATCAGGTTCATGTTTTCAAGTACGGTAGTTCCAGTCGAGACCAAGAAGCGCTAATACCGAATTTGATAAGTTCCCCATCTTGCTTATTCATCTCTAGGTCTCTTCACAAACTGGAGTACGAGTTCAAGAGAGCGGTCGCCAATAAACAGCAAGAAGCCCGTACTCTTAATCCTGGTTCCCGTAAGGGTGCTCTGCATTTAGTTCTTTCCATGGGAGCCGCTGAACTCAATTGCCGACCACCGACGACGCAAGATATCCTTAGAATAGGACGATTTACCCACCGTCCAAATCGCTTTCTTTCCTGTTTGAGACTTGCCGTTTGGTAATATCTCACCAGAAACTCTCAGTGAAGGACTAACATAAAAGCCTTCAATGACTTCTTCGTAGGATTTGCCTTTCTGTGATAAGTTCTCTTTCTCAAAGTCTTCTGCACTAGAAATATACTTTTACATTTATCCCGGTGTCCTCACTCACTACTCATGACTAGACAATTTTGGAACAGTCGGCGAGACCCGTTCGAACCAGTGCGCGAGTTATTTCTCGATGATGATATCGAAATGACACATGATGAAGATGACACTTCCGAAAGCAGTGATTTGAGAGAAAATACTTCTGTGAAAATCAAATCTCCCGCTCCTATAACCATCAAGAGAGTTGCCGCGACATGTGGAAGAAAAACTGGTACCATCACTTCACCCCCCTGCCAGATTCGAGGATTGTGCACTTCTGCAGTGAAGAGCCCACATCCCGATAAAGTTGAAACGGGAGGTGAAGACGCCTGCTTTGTTCGAAAGAAGTGTTTAGGCGTATTTGATGGCGTCGGAGCTTGGAGAGAGAGAGGTATTGACTCAGGACTATACTCAAGAAGGCTGGCCCGCCTCACGAGCGAATTTGCCGCTCTTAATGGACCAGAACACATTGTAAGGGCGTTAAAGTGGGCGGCCAAACGAAACGAAGAAATAGGTTCAAGCACTGCCTGCGTAGCTGCGCTCTCTGGTACCCAGCTTCATGGGGTGAGTGTTGGAGATACTTCGCTCGGCGTGATCAGAGATGGACAGTTCATTTTCATGACCAACCCCTTGCAGCACAGCTTTAATTTTCCATACCAGCTTGGAACGAATTCAGATGATCGAGTCGAAGACGGTCAGATGTTTCAATTCCAAATATCGCCCGAGGACGTTGTCATTTGCGCTAGCGATGGGCTTTGGGACAACGTATACCCAGACCAGATCTTGAGCATTCTGCGAGTGGCGAGGCTCAAGTATCAAGACTTGAATCTGGACGGTTGTGAGTGCCAGCATTGCTTGGTGATGAAGGAAGCAGCGACACAACTGGCTCGAACTGCCAAGAACAATGCGGAGGATGAGGAATGGTTTTCACCGTTTGCATTGCAAGCCCGGGAAGGCGAGGCTGAAGAATTCCCTGGAGGAAAAATGGACGATGTCACAGTAACGGTTTCGTATGCCATGGAAGAAACTGATTTGCGGTCATGGCGTCGATAAGGATGTGCCTACTGTACATACAGTGTTACTTCAATGAAGTGGGTGCATTCAGGAATTAGATAGAGTACAAATTATAGATTTGTCTGGTACAGTAAATACCCTTAAGGGTAGTGTCTATCCGACCGGGGGTTGTCCTCATATGAGGACAGCTCTTCTTTTTTCAAAAATATATAAAGAAAATTGATTATTTAATAGCTATCTTGGACACTACTTCCTTAACGTGCTTGTTTTCGGCAATAACATCTTGCAGAACACCGGGATAGCAGCTTTGAATACACAGAAAGATTAAGCAAGTAATGCAGATTGGGTATATAGTTCCCTTTTTAAACTGGCGTTTTTAGTTTCGAAGTTATTTTATATGCGGTTTAAAGGTGGTTTCAAAAAGCTTCTTCTCCGGACATCTCTAAAAACGACCTGGAAAAACATCAATTCTCACCAAGTTCTTTCTGTCCCCAAGTCAGAAGTCAAATACGGCAGCGGGGGTATCTTTTTCTTTCTTGTCGAGAAAGCACAAGCAAAGAAAAAATTTGGTCGAATAATGTCCTCGTATGAGGACAGCGGTCCAATAGACACTAGTGGGAGCGATGCCGACTGTAGCGACCTTTAAAGGGAATCGCCGGTCGTGGGCGGAGTGAGATTGCGCAGGACAGTGAACTCGCATGCCGTGTCCTGACGCAGCACAGTGCCCAGGTCGTGCGTGCGTGGCACATGTACGCGGGTGCGTGATTAGGAACGACCGCACACGGCTAGGCGCGGCAACGGCGGGCCAAAGACATCAGCTCATGGGTGATGAATCGTATTGCTCCTGGGGTGGTCTTTACTCGTCGCCGCCGTCGCTTCTCCCAAATACTGTTGTTGACGGACTGTGTGCCGGACAGTTTGTCCTTACAGTCCGTCAATGGGACCGACAGCAAATGGTCACGTATTCCCCGAAACTTGTGGGTTTACGCAAGACAGAATTCTGGAATCAAACATGAGAAATAGATAAACAGCAATGCAGAATTCCCCGCGTATACTAAAATCCGTGTCTGTCTGTCTGTGTG